CCCCCCAAAGTAAAAAAGTGCCATATAAGCAATACAACTGCAACAAATATGACCAAATTGATGTTAAAATCTTACCGGTTCTAAAATGGCGAATTCTAAAATGCTGCAATATGTAAGACAAATGGATGGGATGGTATCGTCATAAAGAGGTTTAATAAAGGAGGTATCATTACAGAGAGCGATTTGAATCTAGTAATGAAAAGGTTTGGGAAAGAGATGAATGAGTATAGATCATATTTAGTGGAATGGTTGAATATGAAAAGTAAAAGGGAGAGAAGGAAGATGACAGAAAGGCGAATTTAGTGAAGATGCGAAGAGGTATCGTGTGGTAGGGACGTTTATTCGAATTGTGTACGAACGTGGATGTTTGAGGTGAATGACGTTTGTTCGCTTTTGTTTACACTTCTTAGAAACTTACATTTTTTGATGCTCTTTTATTGTCTACTTGTAAGTCTGAGGTGGCCAATCAGTTGTCCCAAAGGGATATACGAGTCACTGGGGACGGTCTGAACGATCAGACCGATGGAACGAACGAGATTATTGTGAGTATTGATTGCTCTGCTTTGTTGTTGGTCGGATGGGTATGCTCATTTTGTTTCAGTTTTAATTTCTGTTTGACATTTTGTTATTTGGATGAGGGTACCATTCGAGTGAATGTCACCTACGGATTGTGAGACACTAGTTGTGATAGAGGTGTCGATTCTTGGGAGGAATCTGAGCTAAATAAGTTGCATGCAGGCAATGCTTCGACTTAATTTGAAATTTGCAAGTCTGCTTGTTAAATTATCACATCTGATTATCGTTTCTATTAATTTTTTTGTTTTTACATTCTTAGAATTTTGTTAAATGCGCATTTCATCTGACTTCTACATACTTATCATGTTCATGCGATTTGTTTACTTCTCCGCAATTTTTTCATATGGAAATGCATACCGACAGCGTTTTACTTTTATAAAGCTGGATGCTGAATCTCATTTGAAGTTTTGCAATGATTTATGATGTTTCATGAATAGTTTTATGAAATTAAGGTGCCATAATGCTCCATAGAATTGTTCTGTCATTGCTGATATGTTTAGTTTGATTCGCAATTCGAGTAAATATTTTTTGTGCTAAACGTTTCATTGTGAGTTTCAAGTTGTGATCTCTGAGTGTGTTGAATAATTTCATTCGGAAGCGTTCACAAGCCGAATGCGACTCAATAATCACCTTTTATTCTTATTTTCCCCACCAATCTCCACTAAGTGTCACTGATTACGATTGATTAATAAACAATGATTGATGTTCATCAAAAATTTTCTCACTTTCAGTAAGGCGTATTTGTGCTGCTCAGTGTTGTTGTTGTTGTTGTTGTTTAACGAGACACCCCTAAATGATTACTATTTCATCGAATTTCCCGTCTCTCTTCATTAATCAATTCATGAAATTTCACTTTTTTTTTTCAAATATTCGATATACCCTTGCGAGTGTACTGTTTCGTTGTTTTGGCGAATTGTGTAAACCATTTACAGTGAATGATTGAGTGTGAATTATCTCGAATTGTCATATTTATCTGATTCATTATTTTTTGTAATTCATTTATTCGTAAGGTTCTAAAATAGAGTATTTAGTTATGG